CCGATATCCTCCTTGATAGTTGAGCGAATTCCCAGGAGTACGAGCGGTAATGCATCGCTCCATTTCGTCGTGTCAGCTTGTGCCATCAGTGAGCTTTTTAATTGGCGGTGAAACCTTTCGACCAAACCATAAGCTACTGGATGACAAGCTGTGGTTTTTATGTGGTTTACTCCCAGTAGCTTAGCGAATTCCTGGAATAGAACGGATTGGAACTGGGGACCACGGTCTGTAGTAATAATTGAGGGAACTTCGTAATTAGATATCCACCGATCAAGAAAAACTGCTGCTACCGTTTCTGCCGAGGTATCTGCAATGGGACATGCTATCGACCATCGGGTAAATCTGTCAACCGCGGTGAGGATATGAGTAAAGGAGTTTGATGGTGGTAATGGACCAACGATGTCTAAATGAACATGTTGAAAACGTTTGTCAGGAAGCGGAAATTTACCAACAACACTTAATGTGTGTCTTTGTACCTTACTACGTTGGCACTGTAAGCAGTTTCTGGTCCAACGTTTTACATCCGAATTAATTTTAGGCCAAACGAAACGTTCCGTTATCATTTTAGTGGTTGCTCTTATTCCTGGATGCGAAAGTTCGTGTAACTGTCGGAATACTTGTCGTCGACAGGCTTCAGGTACAAAGGGGCGCTGATTTCCAGTTGATACGTCGCAGATTATCGATGCGTTGGAGAAAGGGATAGGTACCGGTCTAAGGATCAAGTTAGACTTTACTTTGCAGGCTTCTAGTTCTGCATCGTCTATTTGGAGTTTAGCAAGCGTTTCGAGGTTAATATCTGGTTTGCGTATCAGAGTGTTGATATCCCTGCGTGATAATGCATCGGCGACGACGTTGCTTTGTCCTTTAATATACTGGATGTCTGTGGTAAATTGAGAAATATAGTCAAGTTGCCTGGCTTCCCGAGGTGAATGGCGATCATATGATACATTAAAGGAGTAAATTAAAGGCTTGTGATCAGTCATTATAGTAAACGGACGTCCTTGTAATAAAAAACGGAAGTGTTTTACTGCAAGATAGATAGCAAGTAGCTCACGTCCAAAAGTGCTGTAACGTTCTTGTGCCTGTGATAATCGTTTAGAGAAGAACGCTATGGGCGTGATAACGTCGTTTACCCGTTGTTGTAGCACTGCCCCAACAGCTTTCTGCGATGCATCTGTGCATAGAATTAGATTTGTCGTGGGGTCAGTGTTGAGGTGCTGTAACATAGTGGCGTTGGATATAAGAGATTTAGCTTTCTCGAATGCAGTTTTAGCATCGGTCGATAAGTTGAATATGTCGTTTTTAGTTTTTCTCGTCACTTGGTTGTCGGCTTTTAACAAGTCAGTCAGGGGTTGTAAGGTTTCAGCGCAATGTGGTAGGAATCGTCGGTAGAAATTACACATTCCAAGGAAACGGCGTAATGCCTTTAGTGAGGTAGGTTCAGGGTAGTTGATGATGGCGTCTACTTTCTCCTGTAGTGGTCTTATGCCTCGTGAGTCTATGTAATGTCCCAGAAACTCCAAGGCAGGAGCGCCAAAGATGCACTTGGAAGGATTAATGACGACTCCATACTGTTGGAAGCGATCGAAGAGGGTTTGTAGGTGCTGAACGTGTTCCTCGATCGACGCGCTAGCTATAAGAACATCATCGATGTAGACAAAAACAAAGTCGAGGCCTCTGGTTACCTCATCCATAAACCGTTGGAACGTTTGGGCTGCGTTTTTTAACCCAAATGGCATTCTCAAAAATTCAAACAAGCCAAAAGGTGTGATAATGGCTGTTTTTTCAATATCTTCAGGTGCCACCGGGATTTGGTGATATGCCCTGACTAGGTCAAGTTTTGAAAAAAAAATGTTTTCTATATAAGTTAAGCGAAAAATCATGAAGATGAGGAATAGGGTATCTGTCAGGTGTCGTTTGGTTATTTAAACGTCGATAATCGCCACATGGGCGCCAGTCCTGATCTTTCTTTGGTACCATGTGTAGTGGCGAAGCCCATGGGCTGTTTGATTGACGATGATACCCAGTTGCATCATGTGTTCAAACTCTCTTTTGGCAATCTGAAGCTTATGTGGGGGCAGTCGCCTTGGTTTGGCGCAGACGGGAGGACCAGTAGTAGTAATGTGATGAAGTATGTGATGTAAACTGCCTTCCTTTCGATAGTCAACCTTGGTGATGCTATCATATATAGTTAAGAGGTCGGCGAAAGGTTGATTATCAGGCTTAATTAAACGTACTCCATGAATTTCGTAAATGTTAGCAGTAATGCCGTTTACGTGTAAACGTGTCTGATTGTCGATTAGTCGTTTGGCGCGCACGTCTACTAGCAGATTATAGGCAGTAAGGAAATCTGCTCCCAGGATTGGCTGTTTTACCTGTGCTACTGCAAAGACCCACGTGAAACGTCGTCTGAGACCAAGGTCGATTATTAGTGACTGTTCCCCGTAAGTCTGAATGATTGTTTCATTCGCTGCTTGGAATGTATTCTTACTGGGGGTGATATGTTGCCGTCGGGAGAGGTATAGAGGGATAATGCTTATTTCGGCTCCTGTATCGACTAAGAAGTCTGAGCCCGAAATTCTGTCCCTGATGTGAAACAGACGGCTAGTAGCATGGCCAGAAGCAGTCGCCGCCATTACTGTCTGGCAGGCCAGTTTCCCTGTAATTCGTGACTGCTTGTAGGGAAAGTGCACGGCTTGGTAAAACGTCGTGCTTTCTCACCATACTTCTGATGGTACCAACAAACGCCAGTTGGTCTTTTTGGAGATCTAGAGCGATGTCGCGATCCTGACCTTTTTCTAGGAATTATCGAAGTTGGTTTCGTGGTTATCATAGCTATCGAAGCACGTAGTGATTCAATCTGATTTGTGAGTTGTGCTATTTGCTGTTGTTGGAGGCTAATGACATTACACATATTATCTATACCAGTAGTTTGTACAGAATTAACAACTTGGTTATCTGGGTAGATTTCAGTTATTTTATCAGCCATGTCGGCTAACTCAGTCAGGTTGGCTGAATTAATAGTTACCATAAGAATCTGTCTGACATTGTGAGGTAGCCGTTGAAGCCAAAGTTGTTTGAGTATATTCTCGTCTAATTTATAAGGACCAGACAACTCTTTCATGTATCGTAGTAATTGGGATGGCTTTTTATCTCCCAACTCACAGGAGGTTAATAACTGTTGTAGCCTTGTTTTGTCTGATGCAGAAGTTCTCTGTATCAATGCGGCTTTAAGTTTATCATATGGGTCGTTTTCAGGCACTTGAGCAATAAGATCTCCCACTTGTGCAGCTATGTCTAATGGGAGTGAGCTTACAACATATGCGTATTTCGTAGTTTGTGCGCGTATGTTTTTGGCTGTAAATAAAGCTTCAATCTGACAAAACCACATCCTAGGGTTGCTAATACCAAACGCAGGAAGATTAAAATCTGAGATAGCATTAATGGAAGTTAGGGTTTTATCTTCAGACTGTGATGTGGAGAAAGGATTAGCTGGGAGAGAGTCCATTGTAAGTGATGTAATACAAATAAAGCCGTATGCGATATAAACAGAATGGATAAGCTGAAAATAATAATAAAAATTATAATAGCATAACAAATAGCATAAACACACGCTCACTAATTAACTCTGGAAAACGTTGGGGTCACCATTTAATTGTGGTGGACCACCCAATATATTATTTCAAAATATTAACAAGGTTATCAGATATCAATGAGTTCATATTGAAATATATCAGTTAAATGCGATAAATACAATAAAAATATAAGAACGTTACTTAATGCAGCTACTTGTGCGTGTTCGATTTGATCTGGTGGTCTTTTACCACAATTTTGGTTCGTTTAATATTCCATTTATCATGATAATCCGAAGGTCAGTATGTGTATGTGGCTGCAGTCTATAAAGTAGATAACATACGTATTAATTATTATGAATAATATCCACTAAGCAGATGAGAATAACAAGGGTATGTATAAAGTGTATTTGATAATGTATAGCGGCGAGAGCCGTGCTAGTGTACAATGAACGGAAGGTGAAAACAGCGCGTGTGTATATATAGCGCCTGTAATAATTAATGTCCCACACATAAACAAAAAGTACAACAATCTCATAGTGAATGTACAAGCTGTGAAATTTAACCAAAATAAATACAGATAGTATCAAAAACTGTTTACAAAATAAGTTTGTCATGCCATCTCCACAAACTCCTCTCTGGTATTATCTCGAGTCGAAAAAGATATAGGAGTTCTGGTGGAATACGACTTTAAGTCTTACGTCAACTGTGACAGAAATGCCTTTCGAGCAAACCAGGCACTGGTAACATTGAAGCGCATTTTTGATCAGTTTGACGGGAGAACTTTCCACATAATCTTCAATAGTTTCATTCGTCCCCATTTGTAGTACGGAAACATAGTATTCCCTCATACACTCCAAAAGGATAAGGACACTCTGGAGCGTGTCCAACGGCGAGCCACGAAATCAGTTCGGGGACTCAAGTTTAAACCTTATGAAGAACGCCTCCAATCACTCGACCTTTACCCATTAGAGTATAGGCGTCTTAGAAGTGACGTTCTGATGGCTTACAGTATCCTTAACACTTCTGGACATCCCCTTAAACACCTACTTAAGCTTAGTCCCAACACTAACCTAAGGGGTAACACCCAGAAATTAGAGATACAACATAGTAGAACGGACTGCAGGAACAACTTCTACTCCTTAAGAGTTGTAAAATGCTGGACTTCGCTGCCAACTGAGTTAGTCCAAGCAACTTCCCAGGAGTCCTTTAAGAGGCGACTTGATCTATTCTTAAGGACTAAGGATAGTATCTTACTATGATTTACCAATTCATTTTTTCTCTTTTATCGTTAATATACCTAGGTTCTTGCCTGGAGGTATTATTGATCCCCTGCTACTGGACACGGAAGCCTGTTAAGCGGAAGTTCTTTCTATTCCGTCCACAACCATTTGTACCCTTTGAACCTTCTGAAATTAAAGCGCCGTAATCGAAGGTTGCGTAGCTGCTACACATTCGGTTGTCATACATACTATTTGTAATGGCAGAGAGCTCGTCCTGGAGTTTTGATGAAGCTGATTTGTCTGCGTGTTTCGATGACACGATGAACGGCATCGGCGTAGGCGTTCGATCAATGTTTAATATGCGGTAAATTCCCTATTTTAGCGTCTTTGAGGGAGAATATTGTGAAGACCTGGGTTAATTAGGCTAAGAGTGCTACATATTAGTTCTATTTCCTCAAATCACTAAAAATAATGCATCTTTATATCAATTAATTGATATTCTCTGTACAAAAGCAGTTAGACCGCTGGCTAAAACACAATTGCAAATGATATGGATATTATCTGCTGAGACGTTTAAATGATTTTGCACAGAATAAAAGAACCTTTCGCTTAATAAGCGTCCGTATCTAGTAACAGTGAATCACCGATACCATCAAGTTGGAACCTAGGTATATTTAATGATAAATGAGAAAAAAACATCAGTAAATTATGACGAAATACTGTCCTTAGTCCTTAAAAATATGTCAAGTTCTCTCTTATTAGACTTCTTCAAAGTCTCTTGCACTAGATCAGAAGGCAGAGAACTCCAGCATTTGATTACTTTTAGCGAGTAGGTGTGCCTACGTCCGTTCTGCTATATTGTGTCTCCAGTTTCTGGGTGTCACCCCTGAGGTTTGTGTTGGGCTCAGCCTAAGTAGGCATTCAAGTAATGTCCAAAAGTGTTCATGATGTTGTAAGTCATTGGGAGGTCACCTCTATCTAAGACGCTCATACTCTGATGAGTAGAGGTTCAGTGAATTGAGATGCATTTCATAAGGCTTGAATTCGGGTCTCCGAACCGGTTTCGTGACTCGCTGTTGAATACGTTCCAATGTGTGCTTATCATTTTGGAGTGAGAGAGTGAATAGTATACTTCCATGCTGTAAATGGGGTCGAGTGAAACCGTTGAATATTGAGTGAAACCTTCTACCGTCGATTTATTGCGGATAAATCTTTCGCCTTTTCTACCGTCGAACTGTCCAAAGATGCGTTTCAACGTTACCAATGAAAGGTTTGCTCGAAAGGCACTCTTGTCGTAGTTAGCGTAAGACTTCAGATCACAGGGTACCAACACCCCTAGATCTTCTCCAGCTTGGGATACCTCTAGAGGGGAGTTACTTGAGTTGCGTTCGTATTCTGCAACACGTCTCAGATAGACTACTTTGCACTTAGAAGTGTTGAAGGTAAGTGCGCTGTTATCGGCCCAACTTTGAAGTTGAGTCAGATCCTCCAGAAGTGCCAGTTTTTCGTCTTGGTTGCGAACTCTTCTCCAGAGTTTCACATCATCAGCGAAAAGTAATAAATGAGACAATACCTGTTGAGTAGGATGTTTTATATAAATTAAGAAAAGAAGAGGTCATAGTACTTAGCCCTAGGAGATAGTGTTTAGCCCAAAGCCACTATGTGTTCATGGCAACCCTTGCAATGAAACATCCTCTTTATCAGACAACCAATTAAGAGTTTTTATGATAGGTAATTTTGGCATTCCATCGAATGTACTCGTCCACCCAACTATCATTGTGTGTTTCCTTGTTTCAGGGTCATCTGGTTTGACGATACCTCTGTGCCTGTGTTGTCCGATCCCTCCACATAATTTCACTCATTGAGTTGTGTTTTTGGCATTAAATCAAAATTTCAGATCTGCGGAATGACGTAGGTAACTCTTAAACACCTTCCTTCAGAATTACCATACTCTATCAGGAGATTCTGGCTACATATGGTAATAAGGACTAGTCAATTATGTATGCTAAGGGCATAGTATTCCCTCTCTCACTCCAAAATGATAAGCACACATTGGAACGTATTCAACAGCGAGTCACGAAACCGGTTCGGAGACCCGAATTCAAGCCTTATGAAATGCATCTCAATTCACTGAACCTCTACTCATCAGAGTATGAGCGTCTTAGATAGAGGTGACCTCCCAATGACTTACAACATCATGAACACTTTTGGACATTACTTGAATGCCTACTTAGGCTGAGCCCAACACAAACCTCAGGGGTGACACCCAGAAACTGGAGACACAATATAGCAGAACGGACGTAGGCACACCTACTCGCTAAAAGTAATCAGATGCTGGAGTTCTCTGCCTTCTGATCTAGTGCAAGAGACTTTGAAGAAGTCTAATAAGAGAGAACTTGACATATTTTTAAGGACTAAGGACAGTATCTCGTTATAATTTACTGATGTTTTTTTCTCATTTATCATTAAATATACTATGATAATTAGGAGTCATTGAATTATAGTATGAACTAAGAATCCCAGAAATAACACAATTGAATCAAGAAGTACTACACAAGCACTAACGAATGTATTGTATTTAGAATTCCAAATCAGGCATTCAACAAGTACAAAGGAGTCATTAGTTCATTCAAACACCACACATACCTAGGTTCCAACTTGATGGTATCGGTGATTCACTGTTACTAGATACGGACGCCTGTGAGGAGGCTTCCATCCTATCCAGTTGCCTGTGATCGTTCTGAAAATGTTAGAGAAATTTAGGATGAACTTTCGTGAAGCTTTAATCTTTACACTTTTTTTTATCAAATACAATACTTGTCGCTTTTCAAAGCCAAATTTCTCAGTTTCGTGTCGCTGCCCAAAGCCGAACTAAGTAGTATATCAGTTTATGTCATTTAAGACTGCATCCTTACTGGTTAGTGATGATTACGGTCTTTTTCTACAGTGTAACTTGTTTGGTAGTCATTCATATATCGCTATTTCTTTTTTAAAGAGGAGATATAAGTGTCCGGGACTGCTCTTAATGGTTATGGGTTGCTTGTAACGATGGAAAATGTATCACGTGGTAGTGTACCTCATAGTTCTATTTATAGAACCTTTTTAGTGCTTGACATTAAATGTATCATGATACAGTGTTTGTTAGCTATTAATTTGTTATATATGAGTTCTATGTACGCTGTCCGAAATCCACGTTAGCGTTCTATAATTTATCCTAGTATCTTTATGCAGAAAACATAGCGGTTTTCGTGCAAAAATCGAGTATTATACGGTGAAACAGTAGTAATCATCCATACAATTACTTCTGATATTGCACATCTTACAGTGGAAACACTATATATTGTTGTGAAAGGCTTTCACCACCATAAGGTATCGCTAATTTATACATGGTCAATATGCGTTAAACAAGGCTTATTTATGTAGCTCTGGTTCAGTGGTTTGTTTTATCAGCTGGATAGTACCATTAGTCACACAAGTAAGGTAGCTTAAAGTAGGGTTTATAAATAAATACCCTGCCTGTGAACTTAATCAGGCTTCAGTATTTTTATTAATCTAAGATTGCTTAGACTACTGTTCTTTCGCCTAATTGGAAAATCAATATTTCAATCAACTAGGAGTGGGACTGACAAAATGCTATGATATCCTTTTTATTTTCATTTTTACTTGAACTATTTTGTGTAGTGATGCTCTATCAGCTTTACCACTCTGTAATGATGAAAGTAAGCTTTCTGATGATTCGAACCATGAAGGCTTATCAAATTTCTCTATGTTGTCTAGTAATTCGGCGCAGACTGTGTAAGTTTTAGTTCTCATATTATTCGTTTTATTTCTATCATGTCATTTGGTATAATTTATTTTTAAGACATTTTCGGTATCATTTTGAATAATAAATGTCTACGTTCCTAACAAGTCTGTACATATCATTGATAAGCATAAGTATTCCAAAAAAGTATCTAAGTGATGATAAGTTGCGGTGAGTCTATGGTATTTAGTTAGCCCTCTGATAGTCACGACGAAGTCTTTCGGTTAGCATATTGGTACTTTAAAATTACAAGGAAGGGTTTTGGTATTCCGTCCTATTATTTTAGTATTTTTTGGCATGTATACACTTGTTATTACAAATAAAAGTCAACAGTCAACAAATTAAGGTAAAGCACCCATTATGAGACTATTTCGGAAAAAACGGCACTCTCATCTGCTCCCAGTTTACACGTTTAGAACGACGCGTGGAACATAGTGAGGTTAGACGTAGGGTATTAGAAGATGATGGTAAATCAGTTGATGAAGTTATGAATTTTCATCGACTGAAATGGTTGGGCCACGTGTTGCGTATGCATGAACACCGATTACCACGATGCGCAATGCTCACTGGTGTTAGGGATAATTGGAAGAAAGTTAGGGGCGGCCAAACCAAAACGTGGCATCAGTGATTGAAGACACTAACTTCTGGTTTGGGTCATGTTGGTAGATGCAGACTACCTGGTTGGGGTTCACGCGACTTTCGTAACCAATGGTTGGAGACTCTTGGTGACATGTCCCAGAATCGATCACAATGGCGTCGGTGCATACACTCTCTGTGTTCTCTTAAACTAAGAGATTAAAATCGCTTCATGTCTTTCTTTCTACCAACTAATTCTTTCTTCCTGTATTATATCCTTATACACAATCTTTTTTTAAATTTTATATACTACTACCTTTGATGTGACTACTTCTATGAATCCGGTGTTCATCTTGTTGTGTTAATGCGGTATGGCAACTTGGACCGATGCATATATGTGCCTGGTCCTACGTTGCAGCTGATTGACTGACCCATTATCTGTCCAATTTGGAATTTAACGCTCTCCTAACATTCTGATTGTAAAGCCATGCTCATTTTTAAAGAAGCAGTTTTTAACGTTATTAAGAAATACACCATTTAATCTTGGATCATCATTTAATTTCAGAATATGCATACAAATTTTCAATAATAGTAAATATTTTACTGAGAGCATTAGCAACGAGTAAAATCAATATTTCTCCATAGTTTACCAACTCAATCAAAAATGTCATCGTTCACTATTCGTATGCGAAAGAGTGCAACATGACAATACGTGACATATGTAGCTCATCACATCTACTTGATATTATCAATTTGACATCCCGAAAGTTTAAGAATTTATGGGCCAAAGAGATATCAAGTTTAAATCCAATAGTTCAATAGTAGAATAATAAGTAAATGTGACAACTTTCTATTTAAGAGTCCTCCGACTCTTTACGATGTTGAAAAATCTATAGGAAATCTGAAGCGTGGGAGAGCAGCAGGCCCTGACAGGTTTACCCCTGAGATTTTTAGGGATGGTGGTCCAGTATTAGCTGCGAGATTGACTGAGGTCTTAGGTAGAATCTGGGAACTGGACGTTATCCCATCTGACTGGTCTCAATCACTGATTGTGCCAGTCTATAAGAAAGGACAAAAGTCCTCCTGTGACAATCACAGAGGAATTAGTTTGACTAATATAGTGTCTAAAATATTAGCTTCAATAATACTTCGACGTCTAACCAAAGCTCGTGAAGAGCAGACTAGAGAAAACCAGGCTGGTTTTCGACCTGGACGTGGTTGTATTGATCAAATATTCACATTACGTCAGGTCCTAGAACATAGACACACATTCAGACGCCCCACAATGGTAGTATTTCTCGACCTTAAGGCCGCATTCGACTCTGTTGATCGTGAGGTTCTATGGCAGTGTTTGTCACTGAAGGGAGTACCAAAGAAGTACATCAACCTTATAAAGGCTCTCTACTCGAACACAACTGGTCGAGTGAGAGCTTATGGCTAACTGTCATCAGAACTGACTACCTCAAGTGGTGTTCGTCAGGACTGTCCACTCTCCATTATTTTTTAACTTTGTTGTTGACGTCCTTTTAGAGATGATACTTTCCTCATCTAAATTTCCAGGTGTTGAACTTCTACCGGGAGATCCACTCGTTGACTTAGAATATGCCGATGACATAGTTCTATTTGGTGAAGACGCTGACAAAATGCAGTCTGCTGACCACTCTAAACAACAATGCAGGCATGTTCGGCATGCGATTTTCTCCCTCGAAATGCAAAATGTTGCTTCAGGATTAGGTTGCGTCGACACCAGAACTAGTGATAGGGAGTGAAGTAGTTGAGTGTGTCGACCGCTTCACTTATCTTGGAAGTCTCATCAGCCCTTATGGTTTGGTGTGTGACGAAATCTCTGCACGGATACAGAAGGCTCGACTAGCTTTTGCCAACTCGCGTGATTTGTGGCGTAGGCGAGATATCCGTCTATCAACCAAAGGACGTGCTTACTGCGCAGCAGTTCGTTCCGTCCTACTTTATGGCAACGAAACATGGCCAGTAAGAGTAGAGGATATTCATAGGTTACTAGTATTTGATCATAGATGTCTTCGAAACATCGCTCGTATATCCTGGGACCACCGAGTAAGTAATGCAGTTGTTATGAAACGGGTACTAGGTAAGGATGGCAAATCAATTGATGAAGTAGTGAAACTTAATCAGTTGAGATGGCTGTGACATGTGTTGCGCATGCCCGACCACCGACTGCCCCGACGTGCTATGTTTTCTGGTGTAGGAGTAGGTTGGAAGAAAGCTAGGGAGGACCAGACCAAAAACATGGCACAAATCCATGAAGTCACTGACAAGTGGACTGAGCCATGTTGGTAGGTGTAGACTACTTGGTTGGGGACCGCGAGATAATAGCAACCGATGGTTAGAGACCTTGAATGACAAGGCTGAAAATCGTTTGCAATGGCGCAAGTGCATCCACTCTCTGTGTTCTCTCAAACTCTAATCTTCTGAATTCTTCATGTCCTTTATTTTCTTTCCCAATTTATTCCACTTGACTATACTCCTTTAATAACATCATCAAACGTTAATGTCCCCTATCTCTACTTATACTTTCAGTACCTCTACCGCTATGGGATTTGAATCGATAACTGAATCTCTGTGCTAATGTGGTATGGCAACTCGAACTGATGTACGTACGTATGAAGTTCCACGTTGTTACTGACTGACTGACTAAGAGTCCATCGAAGTTTAATGATAATTCTGACTACTATTTGAAAAATAGGTCAATTAATTCAAGAGAGCAGTGGTGTAATTTCTTCATAATCAAAAAGGTTGATTTACTTCAGTTTCTTTTATTTCGTCGTATTAAATGTATATTTTATTTCATTGCCTTTTTTAATGCGCTTTGTTCTTTAAGGTGGACGGTTTAATCGTGAAGCTTTCATTGTCTTTCTCGATAACATCATCAGTGTTGAGAAGAATTAGAAAAAACACTAAAAGCGTCACCATTAAACCTTCCAGCTAAGAGGACGAAACACCTTCAAAATTCTCACCCTGAGCTACAAATTCTCTTCACTATTGCTTCGCATACATGGTATGTATGTGTAATCTAGTTAGACTAAACGAAACGAAGTATAACGTAGCAGATTACTGGATTATTCTGAGTTACCAGAATGTTTATCATCAGAGAAGAATAAAACTAGTAAAATCTTTAAACCAAAGTAGGGAAAAGCTTTTAGTGGCCCGTGATCTGACTCCAATTTGATCGTATGATTGTATGAATGTTTGCTATCATCTATCCTCTTATATAATCATTGACTTAAATCGCGTTAGTTAATAACGGAACTAAATACGTCAAATAACGAGAATGGAGTTTTGAATGCATATATTTTGTATAATTGTTGATTAGACAAACGGATGGAGGAACGATGCGAAGATTAGAAAGCGAAGCTAAATTGGCACGCGGTGGAGATGGCTGGTAAGCAAACACCCATTTAACAAAGAGTTAATCAATATTTATAAGCCCACAAAAATAAATTACAGACATGTGATGAGTAACGGGATAAAAAGTGTACATACGCCTACGCGCTCATACAAAGACAGTCAAGATATTGATAAGCGGATAATTAACAAGGTCAGAATGTGACTCAAATAGAATGAATAGAATGGGCTGTCCGAAAGTGAGAATAATAAGGTATTTGGGCTTAACATAATGACAGACACTACAAGCTAACCAAGTATTCTATGTCTCAAGTGAATATTCGATATTCTCTTATGTAACTTTCTACAACTTTTGGTCTGAACCGTGTTAGTAGATGTAGACTACTTGGTTGGGGTCCGCACGACTCGTAATCAGCAGTTGGAGACTGTGAGTGACATGACTCAGAATCGATCAAAATGGTGTAGGTGTATACCCTCTTTGTCTTCCCTTAAACCGTGAGATTAAAATTACTTCATACTTTTCTTTGAGCTAATTCTTTCTCCCTGTATTACATCTCTATATTTAATATTTATTTATTAATATTACTACGATTAAAGTAACTGCATCTATGAATTTGGTGTTCATCTTGTTATGCTGATGAGGTGTGACAACTTGGACCGATGCACATATGTGCTTGGTCCTACGTCGTAGCTGAATGACTGAATATGTAACCCTCAATTTATTTGATATTGTATGATCGTCCTAAAAGTGCTCCTCTCTCTGTTTCGTTTGTTTATTATTAAATACTAACAATTCTTGTTATAACCAAAGGACTTTTAGACTGTTTCAGTTTTCATTTTATTCAATTTTTAACTTAGTTATGCTATCGAAATGAACTTTAATTTGCCTAGCGAGTTTAAATGTGCAATTAGTTTTTGAAGTTTACCTGTTTAATAATGTGTTTCTTTAATATTTCCGTTTAGTGCTAATACTTTTATTTCAATGGCTGATACAAACTCTCCTTTGTTCGATAACGTTTTAAAAGCTCCAACATCATCGGCTACACGATTAGGTGAAGCGTCTTTAACTTACTTAAATCAAGGTAAATATTATCATCTATATTGGTCTTCGTCCTATTGTGTTGATTCAGTTTGTTTCGATATTATTGAATATGTATGTTATCTGCCATATATACTTGTTCCCAATAATTTTCTCTGTAAAAATAATTCTTATTCCTTTCACATGATTCCACTTTTAGAACAAGTCATATTGTTTCTATTGGGAGAGTACAGTGCGGAATAATTGGAGTACTGTTGCAAAAATGGAGACACTTTCTACATTGCTTCTAGCAAAATGTTAAGTAGTTTCGCGATTAGCAGATAAATTTTGTCTTAAAACAGCTATAAAACGCCGGTAAAATATTTAAAAACAGTTTCCTGTTGTGTATATTGGAAAGTTGTACGATGCTGACTAAGGAAATAGCCATGAATTTGGTATATCATATTCAAAAAATTATACTACAGTGTAAAACACTTGTGTCAATAGCTTACGCTTATAATTGTTTGGTAAAGTTATGTTGTAATTCAATCAGTGATTAACAGTGTGAAACCTAGCAAAAGTGGTTATCATTTCTAGTTGTCACAATTTGTAGCCATCACACTTAAAGTGTGACTCAAAGCCACATACATAGAAATATGTAGATGATGAATAAGTTATAACAATTTTGTATCAGAAGTAGATGAAACTTTGGGTACATACCGGGAACTATTTATAGACTCCATACAGCGGCGTCTGAGATTGCGTTCTTGATTCAACGGGTAGGGTTAGACGAGAAGCATCAATAAAGACTCGGAGTTGACTCTAGGCTGCTCGTGCTGGTTATCGCGTCATTGGTTTGACACAGCAACAAGGTCATCTAAGTCGGTATTCTGATGAGCGATCTTGTCACGTGATAATTGACAGGAGAAAAAGTCATAGCAAATCTTATCAGTGAGTGTCTCACCGTTGACTTCCTTGATTCAACCGATCACAGATTTTTCACCAGAACCTTCAGTAGCTTCATTTCAAAGATAATCGGTCACTGAAGAATATAGCACAACTATTATTTATGCAGCTGATTTGTGAATGTCTCCATAATTTGAAGATAATTCTCATCATGAACTATCATTAGATAATAAATATTTAATAGTGATAACTAAGTAACCTTGGCTACACTAATTGACGTGATACACGTTGAAATGCCTAATTCAAAGCATATATATATAACTTCTTTTGATAGTGTTATGTTCTCTGAGCTGGATAGTTTAGTTGTGGAGCTTTCATTGTCATTCTAGACATATTCGACACCTACTTCATGTAAACCATCTAACTTTGAGAATTCAGCACTACTAAAGCATCCTCTTGAACTAAAACTTTTCTTCATCACTTTATAGTCTATTCTGTCATGCTTATCCCATACTTATATTCTTACAATTATTTACAGGACAAACGTATGAACTTAAATTGAACTCGAAAACACCAGAGATAAAATTTATCAAGGTAATTCATATCGTTTTAAAACTACTTCATGTTCGTTATTGGTTGCTATGGTTTATATTTTTTCCTTTGTTGACATTTTTGGACTAAATTCAATCAATTGACGTCTACACGTAAGCGCTTGAAGTGAAAACCTCTGTCATCTTTCTCAACAAATTGATTATATGTTTGGATAGTAATTGTCAGTGCGTTTCATTTCATTCACTGAGATCAAGCTATGACATCTAGCATAATGTCACGTCTACATGGATTAGTCTTGATTTTAGATAGACCAATCAATTTATTCTTTTTGAGTCATTATCCACACTTATTTTGACCTTGTCAGTTGTTCACTTATAACTTCATTAGTGTATATGTGTGTATCGATGATTCTATTTTTCACATGTTTTTAGCTTCTTTTTCTACCTGACCATAAACAGCCACGCTTTGTCTAATTGAGTTAGTATGCTTACTTTTGCTTCACTTTCGTATTCCTCGTCTTGGTGTATGTCCGAGTAGACAAATGACTGAAATAAATTCTTCCAACTTAATTCTTATTTGGCTTTTTATTACCGCAGTCACCCAAACGTGGTTAGCCTATGTACAATATTCGAAATCGAACGGAGAATTTATGTTCATGGTTTATCAATTAATTCGTTCATAATGGAATCAGATTGCGAGCTTGGAGAGCAACTAGACATGGCATTACTACAATCCGCTTGGATATTTGTTGTAAATCGAAATAGAATGATTAAGAGAGATTATTCTAATACTCAGTGGGATCTATGTTAATTGGATAGACCGGATGAATAATACACAACACGGTAAAGGTATACTATACTGACGATTTTGGGAAATTTATAAGCTAATCAGGAAAGGCTGCATAATTCTGAAACAATTAACAATAAAAAGCAATAAAATAACAGTTTCTTGACTTAGTATTCATAAATACGGTGCTTTTTCATGTGAAATTCCCATTTAAGTGTGAACTATTTTTACTAGCTCACTGCGGAGATTTCCATCTTTTTGTTTCCATTAATGAATTTTCGATATTTGGTTGTAATTATATTGTTAGTTTTCAAGCCTTTACGACGTTGCTTATATCAGTTTATTTATTTTACATCTATGCGTCCTTATTTTCAATCTGAGCCTATTATTGTTCTCATTTTTTCTTTGTAGACATGGATTCGAGTTACTTTCTATGATAAACGAATGGAATTAAATGAACGCGAGCATTGGGATAACTGGCATCAAACACACCCTGGTGAAAACCTCCTAGACGTAGGTGAGAGTAATAATATTTCATATTTCTACTTAAAGCTGTAAAATGTTTATGTTTTATTCGCATTTAGAGTACTTTTAAATCTTCTTTAAGGTGTAATTCCCATCTATCCTTTTGCTAAACATATGTGTTCGAAAATTAATAATCGATTAAATATAACTGTTATGCGCTAGACGATGAGTTCGATATAAGGGATATTTATTCCGGATTATACAGTCAATCGTCATCAAATATTTCAAGTGGTTCATGCAAAAGTAGAGCTGTAATTTCATTGTCTAAACATCGTACGTTCAACTTTCGAACCATATATCTAACTGCCTGTATCTATTTTGATTGATAGACAGAAAAATAGATAATATATGGCCGGGCAAAGTTGGTTGTTGATCCAAGTCACCGTTCCTCACAATAACACAATATAAAAAAGTTAATACGATGAAAAGCAAATGGAAAAATATACCAATGGTTGTGTCTGGAGTAACAGAACGACAATGCCTGATAGCACAAGGGCGATGGCTACGTTAGATTTTAGCTGTAATCACAAACGATAGGTTATCATGTTCTAAGGACTTCATGTTTTTTAGCTTAAAACCAAGTGGTCGCGTAAATTACTGTCCATTATATAAACACCTCTTAAAAGTTTGAACGTACACAGAATAATTTAATTATACGGTAGTTATAGTTTTCATCATTTGATTTTGATAAACATATCCAACCTGGTCAATTTTACGAATCCACCAACTTGTATAAAATGCCTTTATTAAACCCATTTACATTCATTTGCTTTGTTTCATGTTACTCCATCTAGCAGTGAAGCTTAAAAACCAAAACAGCATCAGTCATTTAAGTCATTCACTGTTGATTTGAATCATATCAAGAGGTATAGACTTTTTAGCTTCGGTTTGTGAGACTTCAGTACATTTATTCTTTATCACCTATGTCTAAGTTTTTTTCATCACAATGGATACTATTATCTCGACTAGCGCAAAAAGTCCTATGTGAGTTAGACCGCCTTCTGTGTTGAGTTGTAAGATAACCATATATATGCGCGACTTGGTTAAATTAAAAATTCGTAAGTATAATTCTACTCATCTTGTTGAGTAAATCCTTATTTTTTCTTCAAACAACCCACCTTAAAGATTATAAAAGATCGAATGATTATGAAGAATTAGATAATGAAAATACTCCATCAGATGATATATTATGTATATGGAAATATCCGAAATGTACTATTGGTTTACGATTTAATTGTGTCAGTACTGAATTCACTGCTAAGAAACATGGTGGTGAAAAAGGAATTCCTTTTCGATTTCGGGTAAGTTGGTTTTTATTAGTTTAGGGGGTTTATGCAGATAGTTGAATTTCTTTGTTTCATGGAAAAAAATTGGTCGTAGACAGCCACTAGAAGCACTAGTTTGTTATTTCATCTCTGTATAGGATTCCTCGACCCCGCCAGGAATCAAATCTGGAACCTTTTCACCTCACGGTGTGTGTTAATTTATAGACCACTGAATTAACACTCAGTGATTCACATTTCTAGCTTCAATCAATTCACGATATTGCGAGAGATGATTATCAGAGGTCTAGTGAGCTGTATTTTACCGTTAAAATTCAACCATATCGGACCTGAGGCAGTGGTTTGCCAATGAGATTGGATGATATTTGGACGGTATTGAGAATTGATTAAAGTTGAACCACTAAATTCAGGCTAATTAGCTTAAATTTTGAGGGTTCTCAATGAAACCTGGTCTTGGGTTCGACCTTCAATCGAGTCGTGAATACGTACTATTAAGGAGATCCCTTACTAAGACGATAAGATTGTACAATGATTCTTGACTTTCAGTAATTGTTTAACCAAAGTGGGTCAGTGATTTGAACTATGAAATGTTTATTTTGTTTAATTTTTGCAATTTTATTTTCTAAAAAAGATGTAAATTATAAAGGTTTGAGGGTTTATGTCAACCGTAAACTTAATCACTTCTTAACTTGCATTTTAGTTTGTAAAGTTATTTAACTTTACTAGCTTTCACCTAAACTGCCTAATAGTCAGGTATATAAGTCTGTACCTGGTAAAAGTCTTATTTATACCTTAACAATGTAATTTAAAAATAGACGACATCAACGAACGACATAAGATTAGTTGTTATTAGTATTTATGGTATTTAATTAAATTAGTTCATTACAATATTCTTGTAAACTATGGTGATAAGGTTACAGTTCAGTGTCTTCTATCTTTAATTAACGATCAGTACAGTAGGTTCGGATTACATATATACATCAGAATAGGTTATAAATTAATCATTATACTTCCTTTTTGAGTTCAACTTTTCACTATATAAAGCGCTATAAAATATCTCTGATAATTACGTCTAAATATAACTAAAGATGTTTTCCTAGAATAGATAAATCTTGCAAAGAGAGTAATAATAAAAACCTGAATAGAATAGTATGAATTCACAGTATTTCATTGGTTTCTCATTAACTGCTAATAACTAGATAATATTTAAACATCAGAATTACACGTAGAAGATAAATTTACGTTTAGCATCAGAAGCAGTTATATTCAGAGAATATAATGAAGCACTTACGTTATTCCAAAAACATATCATTAACACAGGGCATCAGGTCGACAGTGAAACTCTAATCTGAAATTTTGCGAGAGCCATAATAATCAAAAGTCTCAAACTCGATGTACTTGTTCAAAAAGAAACAGCGGTAAATGTCCCATTATCATAGTGGCATTAATTTCATTTTCAATTCTTTCTCAATTCATAATTTTGTTTTTAATCTGGAGAATCTCAGCTCATGTTATCCTTAATTATTGCAGCCTAGAGTCCTCATTGGTCCTGCTTCCCTCCTAGCCCACCCAGTTAAGTCCAGAACACCAATCTCAGCGTCCGCAATATGAATCATTTATTTCAAACATACTGGGTTTATATACCAGCCAGACAGACCACATCGTACCATAAAATATGAAACAACATTTGTACAAGAATTAGCCAAATGTGGCTGTGAATAAGGTAGACAGTAATTGATAGACAGGGCATAACTCAAGAATGGTAAATCGTATAATAATAGTTCATAGGTCAAAATAAAGCTCATGATAAGAAGGACATGAATATGAATAGTTTAGTTATTTGACAATTATACGATAAAAATACACGTATAGTGTTAGCCCAGAAATAGACTCCAACAGTTACCATTCATTATTCTCATCGGGATATAACAGTGTATACACTCTTTGTCTTCCCTTAAACCGTGAGATTAAAATTACTTCATACTTTTCTTTGAGCTAATTCTTTCTCCCTGTATTACATCTCTATATTTAATATTTATTTATTAATATTACTACGATTAAAGTAACTGCATCTATGAATTTGGTGTTCATCTTGTTATGCTGATGAGGTGTGACAACTTGGACCGATGCACATATGTGCTTGGTCCTACGTCGTAGCTGAATGACTGACTATCTAACCGTTTATTTTAATAGTTTTATTCGTGGATTATTTTTTAAAAATACTTCAGGTAGAACATTTTGAATATGATACTAATCAACATTTGGGATCATTTGCTTGTCAAATTAAAGTATTTAAAATGAAGGGAGCTGATCGTAAGCATAAAACAGATCGAGAAAGAATAGAGCGTAAATCTGGTGATGGTCAGGTAAATGCATTTTGAATATGATTTGTGATTTCTCGATTTTAACCCTCTCCTTTTTACCAAACGTTTATTAACCTAACGGTTAGCATTAATATAGAATCACTGTAGAGATGGCAAGCTTCTGTAAAACCTTTTGTTTGGAACTCATTAATGTAATTTGTTGACCTATACGACCTACACACTTCGTAATGTTCATGTTACTATCAACCCAGTCGATTGTTATCTGATGAATTGTATATTATGTTTTAATCACGCAATACCCGACGTAGCGCAGACACCACGTAAAGCAACTAATAAATGCTCTTGCTTCTTGAAGCTTTGAGTTAACAGTCATTCGATTTTGTCGTATTATTATCAGCGACAACACTTCTATCACATGACCTGAAAGTTCCAAAGCGTTTATACTACTAACTGTTTGCTCTTTTCTTTTATGTCAAAATAAATCCGTATTATATGCAACAAAGTTCATTGTTTAAATGCCAATCAATTATATTCGACGTTTAAGCTAGAATAAATGTACACCGAGTCAAATTACCGTACATCAATACAGCAAAATGAACTTTTAAGGATAAATAAAAAAGCAGTAGCAGTGGTACTAGTAACCCTATTTCGGTAATAATATGTTCACCAGTGACCAACCTCATGATGCAACTTTCTAAGTCCCAGTGAGAAGCCGTGACCAATGGAGTTCAACCACTTTGGACGTGAAACAGTTGTCCACCTCAGGCAATGGATGAAGATTGCACAATATTGTGAAATGATTAAAGTTAGACATTAACACCATTAGATTCTGGGTCAGTGGTCTAGAGTTTAAGCATTTGCATGGCTTCGGATCCTTGATGTAAGGTTGTGAATATTCACTGCTGGGACGAAATGGTCGTCTAGTGTTTTCTGTTTTTCACTGGCGGTCTAGCTAAGTTCAGTTCGTGATTTAAAACTGAAAATTCTACAGTATCCACAAATTCCCCTATTTTAATAATCAGTTTTATCATTATTAATGAAAAAGTCTACATAGAGAATATTATTTAAGTGGAATGATTTAGTTCACGGAATAATAGGCATAAAATTATTTTGAAACTCATGATCTAATAGTGAGTATAACTACTCCGTTGCGACTAATTGTGAATCATCTCATTTTATTATCGTAATCAACATTATTTTATGTTATCTCCAGGCTATTTATAAACCATCAGTCCCCGTGACTAAATTATCATATTTACCTAGCAAGCAAGTTAAATTATTTCATAATCACCACCATAACCATGGTTATTATCAATCGATAACGGACAAACAGTCGGCGATCGACGATACTTTTACAGAGCAATCGATAAAAGTGACAAATACACAAATTCTTACCACTTCCGCTACAATAGCCACGTCTGTTTGCAATAATTCATGCCAACAATTTAAAGTAGACATGAGTAGTTTGGATTTACAGAAGTAAGTTACAATTTGACTGTTTGGTACTAAATGGTTTCATGCAAATCCTTATTTTTTTATTTTCGGGTCATTGAAGCATTTTATTTACTGTCAGTGATGTCCTCCTCGATGATAAAAAAAAATTGGCTTGAAATTTAGAAATTTACCGCTTCATTAGGTGTACCGGGTTTGTACACTTCACTCTGGTCTCATTGATTTCCATGTGGTTTCATTCTAAGAAGTAGTTGTCTTAAATGTAATATTGACTTATTCCATCCAACTATTTGTCTATTATCCACAATGATTATATGAGGGTGATCGTAGATTGGGGTGTGGGTCAGTGGTTGAGAGGTTTGACTTTCAGCCAGTAAGTTCTCGATTCGGACCCCTATTCACCTATTTCGGTTTGGACAGTCAGTTAATATTACTAGCCCTCACATCTAGAGTGTAGCTCAAATCCAAGTATACAAAGTTGAACCTGGTAAATGAATTAATGATAATAAATAGGGTAAGAAGAAACTCTTACTAGTTTTTCCTACTTTTAATACATATTAAAGTTTAATGAGTTATTGAGATTAACTATAGCTACGCGCTTGACTTTCGGTCACAATTCCTATGTGAGGATTAGTGAAATAACTAAGTTCTAAGGATACAAATGGAATATTTCGTCATCTAGTACAATCTCCCTGTTGACCATTGTTAATGGTGTTTCATGCTGCATGAATTTTAGATTAAATCGAAATAACTAATTTATCAAGTTCAAAATTCAGAAATCTCAGTTACATTTTGATAACTTGCTTCGCATGTGGCTTTAGCCGAATCTCCACCAACGAAATGATGAATGTACTGTGCAGCATTCCATATTACTCTATTACTGTGAAGTATAGTCTATTAAATTAGAAGAGATTTTCAGGCTTCAGGTTGTTCACCGTAGGTGTCTTTGAAGTATTGCTCGCGTTTCGTGGAATGAACGACTGAGAGGTTTTTTCCGGTGTGTATGGAGACTGGCAGTCCATCAAATTACTTAAGATTTGCATGTCGTATTCCAATTATTTTTTTATTGGTTGTATCCATAGTTTAGCACGAGTGGAGAAAGCGGTGATAAAGGATAATTTTACATTGGAGGATTTAAATGATACAAGTAACAGTTTTGCAATACCTAACCCAATCGAATCACCTAGTGCTTCCAATCGGTCATTTTCGGAATTTGTTATACCTACTTACCCAATTCATCGTTCAGCATATTCAGCGTTAAGAAATGTATCCCCGGGTATATCACCTTCTCCATCTTCTAATAGGCGTTTTAATTATACTATACAGCCATGTCTTCAACGACGTAGACGTCTTCGAGCAGGAGACTGTTGTGCTGGGACTTGTTCATCGTGTGGACGCAGTTGTCGAAGTGCTTCCCGATGGATACGAAGTAATAAAAATAGGATGGTGTACACAAACTGGGACAATTCAACAAATCGTGCCAAACAAGCCTCACTGATTTCAGAGAGAAGGCGAGCTGCACATAGTTATGAAAACGGTTCCCACTTGACTGAATTCCCAAAGGTAATTATTCCTTTTAGCGTAAGAATAAACAGTAATTTAGTGAAAGCAGATTATATACTACTATAAATTGACCCATAAAAATGTCGATTGGGTTAATGTTTTGTGTTTCTTACCAGTGATATATGCTGTTTTGTACATTTTAACAACAGCGTATTGAGTGATCTCACGTGATTTGTTAGCAATACAGATTTTTATTACTCTTAGGTTTGTTCTCCTGATTGTATCAACTTTCCTAAAGTTCCTCAGTCTTATATCATCGTTACAAAACTTTTAACTTCTATTGGGACGGCTCCCGGAAAGTGAGATGAAGCCTTCAGAGGCTTTAAAGGGGTCATAGAGACTCCATTCAATTACCATCCGATAGAATCTTCTTGAATATCGACGTAAGATGCTGTAATTAGACAACTTCCTGCTAACGAATTGGTTGGATTATAACGATATTACAGCCTATACCAACCGCTATAAATACAACTGTTTTTCTCTACATTTTTGACACTTACTGCAGCAAACGCTTTTCCTGTTTTATTTTGCATTTTGATTCTTGACTTGGAGGAGGGATGTACATGTTCAAGTACCGAAGTTGCATACCATATTAGTCGTAGTCAAGTAACAAACACAACAGTTTCATATCGAGTATTAAATTTCACTTTGTCAGCTGTCTTTTAACTTGTTCAGTTTCATTGTAATCTATTTAAAAGTTTCCTTCCAGATGCCGTTTAGTTGAATTTTAATTGTCATTTCTTTGTATGTGTGTGTCTATGTATTTTTTAGTCCAAATCGATTCAAATGAATATTCCTTCGCACCAGTCAAATTCCATAAATAATAACCATCATTCAGGAGTATATGAGTTGAGTACATCAGGTGAATCTTCTAGTCTAGGAAATAATGATAAATTAAATAAATATACTATATTAGATAAATATGATGATCAGAAATCCAAACCATCATCTATCCTCCTACCTGATTATCCTCTTAATTCAGTAGTAATAGCACAATCGGATGAAGATCCTTTATTAAGCATGTCCAGTGCAACTCCAGCAAGTCGTGATATGGGTTATTGTAGTGATCTGTTAGTATCGTCACCTTCCAGACCTACTGTCGAAGACAGAGTCATAGAACAAATTGAATATTGTACAGAGAACAATATTAATAATAATAATGTTCATCATAATAATGATGACGATTATGCAGAGTTGTTGAAATTTGAAGATTTATGTATGGATAAATTAAACTCTGTAGTTCACCAAGCTACATCATGTGATTCAATAGTTTCTTTGTCAAATAAACCGGAAATTGAAATTCCTTCTTTATCATCATCATCATTGTCGTCAACATCATCATCAACATCTGTCTGTCCATCGTCTATAAATACTTCCGTTGCTACTGTTAAACCCACTACTATTACTACCTCAAATATATCATCTGTAGTACATTGTGAAATGACGGCATCACAAGTTGCAGATTGGCTTTGTCAATCAAATTTTAAAAATCTTCTTGAAACGTTTAAGAATTTCACAGGTAATATTACTTAACATTATTTTTTAAATCTTTAAATGCTTGTATTGTTGTCGTTAATGTTAAGTGTTTTTTTTAATGTTTCAACAACGAATGTATTTACGTTGTAGTTGTTGTGTTGCAACTACACCACTAGAACTAAATTTCAACTTGATTAGATTTAAGAGTATCTGATTGATGTATGTTAGTAGATGTATACTACATGGTTGGGACCTGCGCGATAACCGGGGTTAATTTTTGGAAAGTTTGGGTGGTATGCCTCAAAATTATTCACATCTATGCAAATACATTCGTCTTTTATTTTCCTATCGATATTGAACCCTCGTTTTTCTACTTACACTTACCGTCCTACTCCATCGTTTTAGAAAATATTCTCACTGTTCAGTCCTCAAAATCATTTTTACTACATTATTTCGATCTTTTTTGATTTTCTTCTTGTTAATTCCAACTCGTGTGGTATGAAAACTTAGGCCAACACACATTGGTTCCGGGCCGCACGTTGATGACTGACTGACTAGCTAAGTGTTATCACTTTAAATTGAAACAGTTTTGTTATGAATCTTTATTATAAAGAGCTTAGGTAGCATGCATGGCAGTCATCATCTTAGAATAAGTCTGCTACCAGTTGTGTCTAAAATATTGGCTACCATCATACCATTCAAATCTTCCGATATTCATAAACAGATTAATTCTCCTCGATTCGCTCAGTTTTTATACAACAATGAATCCGTTAGTCCCGTGTTCACCCTTTTGTCAAATAACTAAATAGGTTTACAAGTTTTTCAGACCGACAGTTGGGGATAGTTCTCTGAGATTGTCTGTTGAAAAAATTTTGGCGTCGTGTTCTTGTAAAAACTTTGTAGAATACAGTTACGTCTTTATTATTGCGAGTCAACAATGGGATTAGACAATGCTATTCATTAAGGGAATTCTTTTAATTTATCTTCTACGATATTCTGGAACCAGATCTAAATGAACGAAAGAAATACACAGTTTTAGTGTTAATGTGTTACTTGAAAATGATATTTCCAACCTTCAATATCACTAATCATGTATTTCAAAGAATCCCTTTCAGCAAGTTTATTTTAATGATTAAATCATAGGCCTGCAGACATATTTCCTTCCTAAACGATAATACGTTTATTTATGATTAGTAAACTGACTACGTGTTACAGATGAAGTCAGTCAGCTGCAACGTAGGACCAGGCACATATATACATCGGTCCAAGTTGCCATACCGCATTAGCACAACAAGATGAACACCGGATTCATAGAAGTAGTCACATCAAAGGTAGTAGTATATAAAATTTAAAAAAAGATTGTGTATAAGGATATAATACAGGAAGAAAGAATTAGTTGGTAGAAAGAAAGACATGAAGCGATTTTAATCTCTTAGTTTAAGAGAACACAGAGAGTGTATGCACCGACGCCATTGTGATCGATTCTGGGACATGTCACCAAGAGTCTCCAACCATTGGTTACGAAAGTCGCGTGAACCCCAACCAGGTAGTCTGCATCTACCAACATGGCCCAAACCAGAAGTTAGTGTCTTCAATCACTGATGCCACGTTTTGGTTTGGCCGCCCCTAACTTTCTTCCAATTATCCCTAACACCAGTGAGCATTGCGCATCGTGGTAATCGGTGTTCATGCATACGCAACACGTGGCCCAACCATTTCAGTCGATGAAAATTCATAACTTCATCAACTGATTTACCATCATCTTCTAATACCCTACGTCTAACCTCACTATTACTTACCCGATGATCCCAGCAGATGCGAGCGATATTTTTAGGACATCTGTTGTCAAATACTAGTAACTTACGAGTATCTTCTACTTTTAATGGCCACGTTTCTCAGATGAAGAATATAAAGTGATAACTTGAACGACAGCTGATATACCACGTACAATAGCCCTACGCGCTTCTACTCCCCATCTGCTTCAAAATAAAAATCATATTAAGACGATTTATTAGATGAGGTCAAAGAAGACTAGATTTAAATCTACGCTAATTCAGTTATCAGCTAAATGATTATTAGTTTTAGAGTTTTATTAACTGAGTTATTGTCACTCAATACAAGTAACTGAATACAATCGAGTTACATCAAAAGTTAACGAAAATAAATCGCGACAACGGGTTGAATTTGACTTGGCAAACATCCCCCTTAAATTGGTTTAGGGATATGATATTCCCAATATTACGTCACTAATGTTGTAGTGGACGAGAACTCAGTTGGAGAAAAGTAATTTATTAAATGAGAAATTACAGTGTCTTCGTAAAATATGAAGATCATATATTAAATACTTTATTTGCACATCTATCAGTTGTTTCTTATATCTGTCAATATAAGTAGTAGACATCACAATGTGAGCAAATCAATTACATCGAAGGCTTGTAATCGAAAAATGATAATCTACAAATAATAATGAATCCATTTGTATTAATATGACTTAATAAGAATGTATTGTACGTAATGAAGCCATTATATCGATATAATATCGAATTTTATTTTATCTCTGTAAATAATGAAACACCATCCAGGATCCCGCATGCATGATTCGAACCCAGAACTTTCCATCTCGCGCTCAAACACCTAACCTCTAGACCACTGAGGCGGAACTGCTGAGGAGTCTCATACTAGAACGGAACGGACGTCCAGTGCTTCCAGGTTTTCAACGGTGATATAACCTAGATCGACTCATGAATTCAACTATTAAAATTACTACAATCTCCACAAACCCCATTCTGATAATAAAATATCAATTGAAATTAATACGGATTAATCGTTCTGAGATAAATCTGGAGTATATTTCCACTTGATAGACGGTTGGAAACCTTAAACCTAGATTTAATTCTCTGGGCATTTTGCGACTTCATCGATAGAATTCTCAGTCAGCACTAAAGGATTGGACAAATATGATCAATTATTTATAAATATTTCTAGTAATTTCAGTAATTACTTGAATGCTTCAAGATAAACTTGTATAGAAGTCATGCAATTTCAACTATGTAATCAGTATATGATATCCAAACTTTTCGTAAATGTTTCCTTTCCGTTTTTTCTCTCTTTAATTTGAGACATCCGATTTTTTTTTCAATTTTGTGTTTTCTTCCCCTATGAGTTTACTTCCAGTTCCGTTGTTGTTACATATTAACTTATTTAGATTTCTCTTTTCAATTATCTTATTAGGTTGTGATATACTTCGTCTAGCTAAAGAAGATTTATTGTCTATTTGTGGATCATTAGAAGGTTTACGATTATATAACTCACTTTATAACAAGTAATTCTTTTACATGATAAAACAGTTTTAATCGATTATTGATTGAAGAAGTTGGAAATATAACTCATAACCTCCTAACTCAGTAGTTTAATAACTAATTGCTCTATGCAAGATTATAGATTCGATCCCTAAAAGTGTCATCAATTCATACTTCGTAGTAGTACCATGCTTGTACACAATTATATCTTGATTGAGGTCAATCTATGGTGAAGACCATCTGCACATCGATTATTGCTTCAGGGTGATTTCGTGGGTATTAGTTTAGTTTGTAAATTGTTTTCATCTTAAATTAAGATCAGCTAAGAAGCGCAGGGTGTATTTGATATGTGTTTCGTCCTAGTTCTGTAACTCGTCAATAGTCCTCATCCGACATTTTGCATAGGCTACTTCATGTTATGTTTCTTCATTATATTATGGCCATATTCTGGTTAGAAGAGAACAGCAAAAAACAAATATGTGATCGAATTCTAATCAGCACCCTCTATGTTTTGAAGTTCTTCTGTGGCCTAGATTCCCTTTCAATTTTCAATCGTTGTTCCGTACATAAAAAATTGACCGGATTGGTAGAAACATTTCAGAATGCAGATTTAGGTGACGTGGGTTCAAACTCACTTGGGAATATTAGTTCCCTAGAGATTTCATCTAGTCCTTGTCAGCAGGTGCCAACTAGCACGAAACCTAGGTTAAACAGGGTTTCTTGGCGACCACGTCCAATCACCTAACTTCTCAACATAGTCCAGATGATGTCGAAACACTTAGACTAATAACCACAGTGAAAATTAACCGATAAAATTCGATTAACGGCACTAAAATACTAGATAAACATGATATTAATCAACATTCAATGATCAGTCAATTATAAAAAACTTTTCAGTTGACCAATCTATCTCAATTAAGCTAATTGTTAAATGAAGAAAGCGTAACCATCCATAGTGAGTTGATGAAGATTTGTAGTTCGTTATGTGGATGTTGACTAGGTAAAGTTAAGTTCTCTGAGCTGAATAGTTTAGTTGCGAAGCTTTTTATCGTGTTGGACAACATCATTAGCACGCATTTCAATTGTTGTACAAATGCCTCGTCCAATCTGTTCTGATGATCTTGCTTCCAACTAGTTCACGAATTTTTTTGTCTTTTATATAACTGTTCGTTCCAGTGTTGGCTGCTTTGTTCAAATTGCAAAAATGATAGGTCAGCATTCTAGCAATTTATTTAGATCTTATTATGATATATGCAACGTTGAGCTCATGACGTGGTTACCACGTTTATGATATCAACTTTTACTTATGTAACTCGATATGATGGTCCGTTTAACGTGATTCCTATCGACCTTGTTCACTTGTAACCGCCTAATAACTACAAGTTACAGTAATGACGTTTTAATATTTTCATTTTATTGTATTTATTTTGGATCGGAAACTGTTTAAGTAGTATGCTGAATATAGATGTTTTATTGTGATGTTTCTCAACAATTATTAGTCACACGTTTTTCGGGTATTATTTATTCTGTTTTCTTTTTTCAAAAGACCCGCAGTGCCAAGATGTACACTATACGTATGCTTGAAAGGAGAAACAAGTACGTTGTAATGAAGAGTTATTTTTTACCTATCCTTCTTTTAGATATTAATATTTTTTTAATTGAATAGCGTAATAAGCTAGTCTAATTAGAAATTTCCAAGTAACTGAAATCAATCTGTCATAAAAGTGTGCGATGTAGTTTTTTTCCACTTATAATGTTGCTATTCCATGTACTCACTGCTTCTACTATTTTTACTACTATTACTGACCTATTAATGTACATTAATAGTTATGTAATTGAAATATGACTTTCGCTGAGATGGAATATTGGGTTTAGTATTAGAAATGACATTTGAATAATCGTTGTTAAGACTCTTACTTGATTTTCGTATTTAAGACTTATCACATCTCGCTACACTCTGGGGACATTTTTCCAGTGTCTAGTCATTGAGTTTGGTGATTTGAGGAACATCTCGATGTAATCTGCCTTGTTGAGTTTTTCTTGAACTCCTCAATTCTAACTGCAAACAATTTACTCATATTGCGTAATTGTCTTACTCTACTTGTGGTCATACTCCGGAAACCATGGTTTTAGGGATCCGTAAAGTCAGGGACTACTTTTAAGCACAACTAACTCTTTTGCTAGGATTGAAATTTTGTAAAGATTATTTAATTTTGACTACCTTATACACTGGAGTGGTTTTATCAAAATAATTATTTTATCATATTCATTCTTACGTTCCCGACCATAAGACATGTATTACGTATGCTTATCCTCTGACTACCGTGATGCACAATGATTGCTAGCGTAAAATCAGGCTGGAAAAAAGTTAGGGGCGGCCAAACCAAGACATGATATCAGTCCATGAAATCACTGACAATTGAACTGACCCATATTATTATCGCAACCAATCGTTAAAGACTTTGGGCGACCATAGCTTAAAGTCGTTCGCAATGGCAGAGGCGCATTCACTCTTTGTCTTTTCTTAAATCCTAAGTTTCTGGATTCCTTCTAAATATTTTTACTATTGCACTAACCCATATTTTCTTTTCGAATAGTATATTTGATGCATAATCTTTTTATTACCACTGATACTGTGAACTACCTCGATTACTCTAGAATTTCCCGTGATATTTCCATCTCATTTTGATGATGGAGTGTAGCAACTTGAACCGATGTACATATATACCAGGTTCTACGTTGCTTATATGACAACTGACTTATTGACCCATCCCTATTTTATTTGTTTGTGTTTGGTTTACATAATTTTAGTCTATCATGCTATTATGCTCTATGAAATGAAGGTTCATGAATTACGTAGTCGAATGGCTTTTATATTATCTTGTCGTCAAGAATGCATCAAAATTATATGTCTTGTCACAGAAAATGATATTCCTGTCCTATTAACTGATGAGGTTGGTTACTCATGTTTTTCTGTTTATGTTACTGATTTTTTCTACTAACTACAAATGAATGTCGGATTGTAGATTGTAGCAATGATATTAACAAGTTGAATATTAGTTGAATTGAAATCGTAGTAATATCAGTGATAGTTTGGATAGATATTGACTAACGGAAATAGAAAAGAATGGATTAATTCGACTGAAATATTAGCTAGAGTTTGTAACTTGACATAATCCCATGCAACTTGTCTAAGTCGGCAATCGTTCAAATTCATGGGAAAAGACTAGAATCCTATTGTGATAATCATAGATAAATCAGTTTGACCAATTGATGTTCATACAGTGGAAGTAAGATGTAATTGAACACTGAATATGAACAAACATACTCAGCTTACTGACGATTTAATATACGATCTCCTGTCAATGATTGGTTTTTGAGTATAGATTGCTTGTAGTTGTGTTGAATAAAGTATTGTCTAGCCTGTACTCCGACCATCTATTTTTGGTCGTAAATCATCTATTTGGTATAGCGTTATCCAGTGTATTGTATATAACATATCAATTGAGTATTCAGTTTAGTGGTAGTGAAATCTCAGTCCAGTTATCGACTGTATTATTTTGCCACGACGTCACTTTTTTCTGAAATAGTCTCTTCGATAGCTAACATTTTATTATCTGTTCCCTTGATGAGTTGCAATAGTTGTCTTGTGTTACCCATCAGCACTTCATGTTTCATCTCTTTAACTTTCGTTGACTTGTGATAATAATAGTTCTATTAAATATAATATAAATATTTAGTCATTTCTTCATCATAGATGGTATGAATAGAATGAGAATTCGCTTTGGTACTAAATGTATATTGAAGTGAAATCATCATTAATATTTGTCTGTTTGAAAATATCAGAAAAATAATTGAAGTTACATAGAAAAATAAAGGACTACTTTATATTATATTGTAGTAAACGAGAACTCAGATGGAAAACACCAGTTTAATGTTTAATGTAAAATTACTCAGTGCTTTCGTAGAATATGAAAATCATACATTAAATACTTTACTGTCACATCTATTAGTTATCTCGCTTTTTGTTTACATTCCTGTTCTCTTCAATTTGAACTCAATCTTCTGCTGACGGGCATTCCACTTCTGTTTGGTGCTACATACTACTTGTATCCGTCAACATAAGTAGCATACACCACAGTATGACTTAAGAATTTTTCACACTAGTACAGAAGCATCCCCTTTGTATCTTCCTTTGATATTGACCATCTAAGTTATTATTCCGACCACTTCTGTTATACATCTTGTTAATTTACATCTAGTCGCCATAACATGGCTTATCGACTTGACCTAACAGATATTTGTATCATTTTTTAACTTTGATATATGATAAAGCAAATTGTATACTAAATAATGCATGAAATTCTCGTCAAATTCCTATGTAATCTTATTGATTTATTCTAAAATATCTTGACTTATCATTTTAAAAATTTAATAGAGAAATTAATCAATTGATCAGTTGGTCAATTATAAATAACACTGGAACATAACCATTGATCATATTCATTTCAGTGATCACATATGTCTATCATTACCACACAGCATTACAAAATTAAACTTCATAAGACAGAATTTGTAAAAGTTTAAATAATAAAATCAAGTGCATGGTTATAGTATAGTACTTGTTGTAAATGTTGGATTTTGTTATATCTTGTGATCTGTTAATTATATCACGATACAATCGTCAGTTAAAGAATAGTAACTTATCGACTGGATCAATGATGCATAAATCTGTAGGAGCAGACCTGTCTGTTGAGTCCAGAATACAATCTCAGCTTTCATTGTATCAATTATATATTTCAGACATACTGATTATATATACAACCAAGTCAGATTACATCGTACCATAAAATAAAAAATAACATTTGTATAAGATCAAGCCAAAAGTGGTTGTGATTGTGAGGAATTACGACTAATAGATTGAGAATAGCAAATCATATAACAGTAACCTATAGGTCAAATGAAAGGAATATATATATATATATATATATATATATATATATATATATAGTTTCATAACAGTTCTACAATAAGAATATATGTATAATATTAGTCCATAAATAATTACTAGCAGGTTACCATTTCATTTATTCTCGTTCATATATAATAGATTTATTGCATTGAATCATTGAATTACAAACTTATCATTTTATTGTTTTACTGTACTTCATGTTTATGAATATAGTTAGAAAATCAGGATGTATGAATTCATTCACTTGCTTTTAAGAAGTTTTTTATTATAGAAATAGTTAGTTTTCATTTTGTCCAATCTAGATTTCATTAGCGTTTACAATTAGAATTATACTTGATAAACAAGTTTCTATCAGTATAATTCTATTGAATACAATCCTACTGTGACTTATGACACGTTAAATATCACATGACAAAATCGCTAATCAGAATATCGACATTGTCCTTGTGCTAAACCAATGATGCGTTAACCAACACGAACAGCTTTGAGTCCATTCTGAGGTTTTTCTCATCCAACACAGCCCGTTCAATCCAGATAACAAATGTCAGCCTCCTTTATGTGAATAATATATATATATATATATATATATATCCAAGTAGTTACCATTCATTTATTCTTCACTCGGATATAACATAAATCTAATTAGTTAGAATGGATTCGAAGCTTTCAACTTACCGCTGATAAACACAATGTTGTATGGGCGAGAATGATAATGATTAGTTGTCTGCTTAGTCAGACATGTAGATAGTCTGACAGGTGTGTCAGATGAGTTATATATTTCCTTATCCTTATTATTATTACTCACTTATTATTGAATGTTTATCGTTGTTGGATTGTGTCGGGTTTTGGTGTGGAATTATATTTACGTTGTGGTCAGGCTAATCACGTTCTTGATCTGAGTTGTGTTGAACTCCTATAGAATAGACACTAGGAGGGAACCTAGTGTAGATTAACCGTTTAAGGTAAATTAATGTCCCATACGTGTAAACGTGGATAGCCAATCGTCATAATATAGTGAACAAGAACAGCAGTGGGGACCATCGAATGTATTTGACAACAAATTACAGAACATGTTAATAAAACCTAACAACCATACAGTAAATGCTCAATTTGCAAAATGACCATCAGTTGTCTCATAATGGCGCAGACTTCATTGTTCTTTTATTTTCATACAAACTGCATTTTGTTTCCATTCTTTACTGTCCGAACCTCTTGGCTCCCTGCTGCCAGACATTCTGTTCCTGATTAACGTCATATACTACTTATGTTAATATAAGTAGCACACACCATAATAACATTAGACGAAGTAAAATCCGAGCGTTATATAACACACAATAATTTCAATTGATAAGTCAATTAATTTTTTTCGTAAAATTTTATTTATTTATATTAAATCTTCTTTTCATTTTTTAAAAAAATATTTTTTTTTTGAAATAGCTCATTCTTCAATTGAAAGATAAAAGTACACATCAAATTACATTGAATAAAATTTGTTGCAACAAAATTAATTTATTTTTAAAACCTACAACACAACAATAAATGAAAATTTATTGAATTGTACAGATTTTTGTTTTGTCTTGAATATCAACAATCTTCTTTTACTGTTGTTGTTAGTTTGTTTGTTTTGTGATTCGATTTTCTTTTTGTTTAAAAAGATTATGCATTTCTTATTTTACGTGCATCTATTATACATAGACTTCATGAATATGATGAATTGTTCGTCTTCTTTTTTGTTTTGATTTTTTAGAAACGGGAAAATAAATCTATTTTATTGATTGTTTTATTTCCATTATCAGAATAAGGATTTGTAGAGATTGTAGTAATTTCAATGGTTGAATTCATAAGTGAATCTGGAAGCAATGGACGGTTATTTCATCCTAGCATAGGACTACCCAATAGTCTACATCAATGACCTTACACGCGGGATTCGAGCAAGGAGTCCTCGGTCTCGTGCAAGAACGCTTAACCTTTAGACCACTAAACCGGCATTTATGTCTAACTTCAGTCGATCCATGATCTTTCACAGCTATTCTCCCATTGTCTGAGATAGATAACTGTTTCGATAATGCAATGAGAAGACGAAGTTTATCAGAATTATGTGATATATTTGCGCAATACATTTCGAAAAATCTAATCACATATATACTTGTTAAGAACATTTATATATAAAAATTAAAAGGTCACAGGATAGACAGACATCATCCTCCATTGAGAAACATTTGATTGAAACTGGTCATAAGGTTGACATTAAATCAGCTTTTGTAGTGTTATACAAAAGCCTTCAAGGTTTATTGAAGCCTTGGCTATACGAAAATTGAAACCCCCTTTATGTGTTCAAAAACAATTTGTTCTTACACTTAACCTACCCTGGTAATACTGATTTATTATCCAGAGTGGTAATCACATTTGTTCTTGTGTACTTTAATAATTTTTCCTTCGTTATGGCTTACCCTTAACCTGTCTAGTTGACCTTTTAATTCTGATATATAAATGTTCTTAACATGTATATATCTGATTGGATTGTTCGAAATGTATTGCGCAAATATATCACATAATTCTGATAAACTTCGTCTTCTCATTGCATTATCAAAATTTATCAAAGGGACTAATTGTTTTAAATAGATAACTATCTCCATCCGACACGGATTGGATGGACTCCACTGGTCACGGTTTCTCACTAGAAATCCATCTTGAAGCTAGTCACTAATGAGCACATGATTAATATCAGAATATGGACTTGTGCAGATTGTAGTAATTTTAATAGTTAAATTCATGAGTCTTATTTTTTGGAATGTATTCAATCATTTTAAAGAATGGGATATCTTTTATAGCAAGTGTTGATTTTAAACATTGTAATTATTTACTATTTTACATAATTCTCAACTTCGTTACAAAAGTAGGTTAACTTTGCGGACTGTAGATTCAATACAATACAATCCACTTGCGATTGGTTCATTGAATACTTTGCGTTACACACTAAAACCAGTTTCTAGAAGACCCTTTTCAATCTAATTTTCTGAAACCTCATTGTTTTACGGCACTTATTTCCTTAGTGACAGTTTCTGCCTATTATTAACGGCTTTTTAATTTTTACACTTACTCAGAACACTGATTTATAGTCTTATTCAAAATCCAAACAAATGACAACAGATAGGATCACCTGAATCTAAATGCCAAACCCTCAGTACTAATAAGTATTCCATGATAGTCTATCGTTTTGTATCAACATGAAAGGAAATCTCCATACCGTAGATTGCTGCTTCAGAGCGAAACGTCTTTTATTTACAAGATAAAACTGTTGGAGACAGATGAATATAATCATTAAAACAGATTGACCTTCTAGATACTTTTGTCTGGAGATGCTAATTGATATCACATGTCAAACCCGCCAATCAGTATTCTAATTAGGATATTCCTACACCAAGTTTACTATTACGTTTGTAGTCTAATGTCCTTAACTCGAACAATTCTACGTCCTTACTGGTACGATTCACCTTGGGGTATCATAATCCACGCTCCTATTGATCCTCCAATCCTCAAGTCTTTCTTTATTCACACCCTTGAGTCCGAAGAGAAGTTTACAGCCAAGCTTGTCTTTACTACATTTCAGCCACCCAGTTAAAATAGACAACTAAATAAAAAAACACCAGCTTACATACACGACTTATCAGAATGCACAGCACACCAAAAAAGAAATCATATCTTAAACACAACCGCCCCATAAACGACAGCAAAGTAAACAGTATATAAACAACTAGCAGTGATTGGGGATCGTCAAATCTATAACGACGGTTAGTATGTCCACTAAAAGCTCACAATGAAGAGAATACAGAAATACTAGGACGAGGTTATTTAATTATACAATAGAAATAAGAATAGTTATAATTGGAAGAATACTTCCAAAAGTCCTGGCCTCCCCATGATAATACCTCATAGTCAAACAGGATAACGTTAAATTGTCAATCAAATCTATTTGATTGAAAAGATATAATGTCTTAAGAAATTTTCTTAGTTCTTTACTCAGTGTGTTACAGTTATACCACAAAAATATTTCATAAAATCTGATTTTAGAACAAACCAGTTTGTCATATTATTTAATGCGACAAAATCTAAATTAATCACCAGTTGCACGATTTCATAATAATAATCTACAATATAGAAAATATTCTTAATTATATTAAATTTAATAATTCAGATTATGAGTCAATTGAGCCTTAGTGGTTAAGCGCTTGCGCTCGAGACTGATAGGTCCTGGGTTGGAATCTCGCGAGGCAAGGTCGTGGATGCGCACTGCTGAGGGGTCGCAAAAGAGGATAAAATGACCATCCAGGTTTTCTATACTGGTCTAGCTTCAATTGACTTATGATCTCAACTACTGAATTTACTATAATACTCACGAAAACCCCTTCTGATATCATTTATATTACTTTAGTGACCACCGATAAATTCGCATTCTATAAGTATTTACATTATAATTAACTGACATTTTCTAATGCACTAATCAACTCTCATATCAAAGTGTTTCGAACTACTAACAGTATTTAATGTAAACTTTTTGACAGGTTGTGTTTTTAGTGGGTCTTTGGATAAAAGCTATAAAAGTGATTAAATCTAATAAATGGTAACAAGGTTTATGGGTGATCAAATATCAAGATTCAACTGACAGACTTTGATCATTGAAATAAAAAGATTTGGAGAAATACTAGGTAAACTTTATATATATATATAATAGAATTATAGTGTTCTTTGTTTATGTAGTTAATCTGTCGGTCCTAGAGATGGTGCAACACAGTGGTTAGAGACGTTATCAGATATGGCTCAGAATAGAAGCTAATGGCGATCCTGTTGTAACTTGATTTTACTTTCTTCATAAAAAAAGACGTAACCTCTTTAAGTAGAAGAATTCTCTGTGGCTGTACTTTTGGTATTTGAACTTACGCCTGTTACTCCTTGTGAAGGAGCATAGGCTGCTCACCAGCATTCTTCATCCAACCGTGTCCTGGGAAATCTCCCAGCACTTTCCTGTTATTATTCATCCTTTTCATATCTGTTCTTTGGCCTTCCTCTTTTCCGTTTCCCTTCTGGATTCCAAGTTAGGGCTTGCCTCATGATTCAGTTTGGTGATTTGCGTAATGCATGTCCTATTCACTTCCATAGTCTTTTCTAATTTCCTCTTCAGCAGGAAGCTGGTTTGTTCTCTCCCACAGAAGGCTGTTGCTGATGGTATCCGACCAATAGATGTTGAGTATCTTGCATAGACAACTATTTACAAATACCTTTTCGATGATGGTTGTAGTCGTTCTACAGGTTTCAGCTTCGTACAGTAGAACTGACTTTGATAGTAATCGACAGTTTTGAGTTCCTTATGTTCTTCGATTGTAGAAATACGGCCCTTGTTTTGCCAATCCTCGTCTTTATGTCTGCATCTGATCCTCCTTGTTCATCGATGTTGCTTATCGGGTTTGTGAAGGATTCTACATCTTCCATAGTTTCGCCATCAAGAGTGATTGGATTGCTGTTCTTCGTGTTGTATTTGAGGACCTTGCTGTTTGAACTAGCCCTCTCATTATTGTGATTTCACTATCATACACTAATTTCTGTTCGTTATTGTTCCCTTTTTTCTTATACACACCATAGATTCTCTATCTCTTCACATTCTCATTATTGTGTGGTGTATATGTATCTGGTGTCCCTTTGTACCAATATTTATGTGTTCAAATAAATAATAAATAATGCAATAAACCAACTCAGTCAGTCAGTAACAACGTAGAACTTCGTAAATAAATAAACCAACTAAATTAGTTAATTCAGTATACTTTAATTCCGGAAGATAGTTTAAAGGTCAACTTACTTGATAATAATTGTAATTCACCTTATTTCTTAGATTATTAATTTTGAGTAAACAGAGGTTATTATGGCAAGGAATAGAACGATTTTCTGAAAGGAAAATAATCTTCAGAACGTTATTGTCTTCTGTTACAATTAACTACTCACTCATGATCTAAGTAAAATGTCTTTCTTGGAATCACACTATTAGTAACTATAGAATAAGAGAAACTAACAGCCTCTTTTTCTACCAGAGGACGCGTATACAGGGTAGCAGGTTGGTCATTATTAATTGATTATAGAGTTTCGAAGAATTACCTATGTAAGGTAAAATATTTTAGTAAGTAATGCTGTAATGATATAGTGTATTGTAGGTCAAGTTTGAAATTTTGTTGATGAGGAGCTATCTTTTCATCACTGAGGTATGAGTTACCTAATCACAACATATCACGATGCACAATGCTAGTTGGATTACGAGTGGGTCGGAAAAGAAGCTTGAGGTATCGGAACCATGATGGTTCGAACCCAGTGTCAATGTCAAAGGTATAGATTTCCTACAAGACAGATATTTACACTGATTAACTATTGAGTAGTAACTAATTTCATGTTATCTAGTACATGGTGATGATCGTATCTAAGATTGCAGATAATGTCTTATTAACAAGCCATAACTGGCACAATGCATAGGTTTAAGGCTTCCGGTCGATTTTATAAAAAAATTCGACAGATAAAACATGTAAAATTTAGCGAACCAATTTTATAGAAACATACTTTGTCATTTATGTTGTCTTGGCTTTTCAGCAGAATTGTATCCCTCATAGATTATGAGATGGTCAGTGTTTATAATTATCAAAAAAAAAGAAAAGCTTAGTAAGCCTCCGCAAAACTAATCAAATATCCTAAATGTTATTTCCAACAATTTTAGGAATAAGCCCATAACGTAAACAACCATCCGATATACTAAACATCTAATATGAATCTGTACCCTAAGCTCCAATCATTTAGACGAATGAAAACACTGTGATTGATTGGACAATACTATAATACCGACAGGGGGTTGGGGAGACTGTCAAGTTTTTTCGAGGCCATGAATTAATGCAAGTTAGCAAAATGTTGGCAACCTGGAAGCTATGGACAGCTGTTTCATCCCATTATGAGAATTCTCAGCAGCGCGAAACCATGATCGCACTTGTTTATTGTCCCGATTACCCCTCTTAGTGTATAGGCCAACGACCAGGGATCTCCGTTCTGCTTTTCCCTCCGCTCTCCTTTCCAAATGTCGTCAAGAGCTCTTCATTCTTCTCATGTCCGTCTCCATTTCTCGGCGTTATTTGTTCTTTGGTCTTCCTCTTCTCCGTTGGCCTTGAGGATTTCAAGTTAGCGCCTGCTTCGGGACGCGGTTTGATGATTTCCACAATGTGCACCCTATCCACTTCCAACGTCTTCTAATTTCCTCTTCACATGGAAGCTGTTTGTCCTCTCACATAGTAGGCTGTTGCTGACGGTATCCGGCCAACGGACATTGAATATCTTGCGTAGACAACTGTTCATAAATACTTGTACCTTTTCGATGATGGTTGTAGTAATTCTTGGAATATCAGCTCCGTACAGTAGAACTGTCTTGACGACTCTGACTTTGATGTTGGCTTGTAGGTAGTCGTTTTGAGTTCCATATATTCTTCAACTGTAGGGACGGGGTCCTTGTTTGCCAATCCTTGTCGTTATGTCTGCATCGGATCCTCCTTGTATAGTGATGAGTTCCATTCAATCGATTGTTCAACGATTATCCGTAAT